AAAAGGGCGCAACGCGGGCGCCGATAAATCAAGGCTTCACGCGCTATTTTAAGCAAAAACAAGGAGAGAGCGAGAGAGAGAGAGAGACCCCCCTTCAGTTTCGGCGCCAGCTCTCATTCATATTCCCTTTAGATTCTCTCTCTTACTCGCTCGTTTCTTAATGGACTCCTGCGGGGTAGCGGCGGCGGCGGCGGCGGCGACGGTGGCGCTGGATTTACCGCATGCTGCTGCGTGCAGAGAGCCTTGGAATACACACGAAGGAGAATCATTTCCGTGCAGCTCTCCGATCGCCGTCGTCGTCGTCGTCGCGTCTCGGACGCATTCCTTTCGTGGGAGTTGCAGCTCGCGCTGCACGTGGGTTCTCTGTCTCTGCCTTCGTCGAGTATTGTTGCGAACGCGTGTGCGCGCGAGGTCGATATAATTTGCTTGGCGCCACTTCACCTCGTGCGTCCGTCAACGTACGATATACATTTCGCGAGCAACGTATGTGCCATTTTTGTACTTTCGTTATTATCGGCGCAATCGGATCGATCTCTTATCGCTACCATTACAAATGAAATAACAAATTCAAGCGAGCGAGTCTAATGAATTTTAGCATGATTTTTATAAAATCAGCGTGTCTCCCGTTCCCCCAAGGACTGTGCTGCTGCTGGCTAATGCAGAATCGGGACGGGATTGTATAATTCGAGCAGATATAGTCAATTGAAAAGGACCCGTCAAGTAGGTGTGTCCCACGTGCCGCGCAGAGAGCATATCAGCTGGGACGGACAGGTCTCTCTAACAAATGATTCCCCTAATTCCCTTTTGCGCCCGACTCTCTCCTATACGTACATAATGCATAATAGCTTCTCTCTCTCTCATTCTATATATATGCAGGCAGTACCTATATATCGGTAAAGCGTCGTTTCCATTACCATATTTACGACGTGCGAGTCTTTGCTCTGGCTGGCTCTGCTACTGCCGTTGCCGCTGCTCGCTTATTATCATCCGGCGGCGCGCGGCTTTTGTTTGTCCTCGTGTGTGCGGTGTGTATAGCTGTACACGGTACAAAGTATATTACGCGCGCGACGCTCCGGGCTATATACGAGAGAGAGAGAGAGACAGAGATCGCGTCCGAGAGAGCTTAAAATTGCGCGTCCGAGACATCTTAGGAATCTCTCTATATATAGGTACTACTACTGGCTCGGCGGACAGTCACTGCAACAGCAACAAAAAAGAGAGCAAAGGATAAAGATAAAGATCGGAGACGGTGGATCGGGTTTTCGGGGGCAGTTTAGCCTCCGAGCGATTTCGCGATAGCGTATAATATTATATGCGCTTTTATGCAACGTTAAAAGCTGCTGCTGCTGCTGCTTCCAGAGAAATTATCATTAATTCTCCGAGTATCGTACACGCGAATAAACTAGCAGCTCGAGAGACGCGCGATCGATCCATCCGCACGAGCACGAGTGTAATTTCTCGAGAGCTCCGATACTCTCCGATAAAAATCGTCGCGATTCGGATCGTTTTGTATGATACGTATATAATATGTACCGTTTAAAAGCAGCGCGACACGATATCGTAAGCTTATAACCGGGGCGTAAATACAACCCAATTGTAAAACCCGAAAGAATTGCACCTCCGCGCTATTGCACACACACGATCGTCCGCGTGCGGCGCACGGCGCATTCTTTCGCGAGCGAGCGAGCTACTGCTGCTGCTACATTGCAATATCGTACTTGTATGTACGCGCGCGCGTTGCAGCAGTACAGCAGCAGCGGATCCGCTGCTGCATCTTTTATTCATCCGACAGAGTGGAGCCGTAATTTGAATTGAATGGGATTTATAAATTATATTTCAAATTATGTCTGAGGAGTTTGCTACAGCTACTTCTCTGTCTCTTTCTCTCCCTCTCGTTCGCTCGAGGAGGTCGCCGCGTGTACGTATATATACGAGAAATAGAGAGAGAGAGAAGAATTGGTGCAGGCCGAGGAGAGAAAGACAAAACGGTAGTCTCGTTTTCTTTATGCAGGATATTTAGTATTAGGCCCCCGCACAAAACAGGTTGTGCGCGCCCAGCTATGCGCTTCTTGAAGCACTTCTGTCTGCGAGAAGATGATATTTATATCTCGTATAAGTCAAATTAACTGGTGGACGCGACTGCATATACGTACCTCCTCGATTGAGAAATCTTTCTACGACTCCGTATTATATGGGTACGTGCTCGGAACGTAATTTTTTATTTTTTTAATTTATTTTTATTTTTTTGTTTCTACCGCTCTCGAAGCGCGTCATCTCGGCAATGTAGTATAGCTTACGTGTGAGCGCCCGCGTTATAATTCATTTTTTGAGTGTGTCATTGTCATTAAAACGGAGCTCCAGTGTAAATTTCTGCGTGGCGCTGCAGCACGACTCGCGCGCGCACACTTATACCTCGTCGAGAGTGGCAAAATTTATATATCAGCAATTCCGTTGTATCATTTTGACAAAGTGTCTCGCATGCTTTTGAATTCTATCCTACAAATCATATCGTGGTAGCCGCTCGCAACGACCAAAAAAAATCGAAAAGGATCTTTCGAGATCTTCCCAATTGACCGTGCGAATAATTATAAATTGCCCGAGATGAACTAGATAAGCCGGCGTAACGTATTGTAGAAAAGTTGACTCTGCAGCAGCAGAGCACTTGGAAACAACCCTGCAGCAGTGCGGGTCAGAGAGAGCATGGCATGTTGTGCGCGCGAGCTCGGTCGTACTGTGCTTGGCCGCTTGAAAAGAGCATTATAAAGCATTACAACGAGTGCTGTTAACGTCTGTGTCCAATTCGCCGTATAACTATAACAGCCTCCACGCATACGTTTAAATGCGTGTGTACCCTTTCCTATATGGGTATACGCTGGCGCAGATACGCGCGAAATAAAATACAAAATAACGCGCGGGGGCGCATTAGTAAAACCTTCTGTCAAATCCATTTTCCGAATCGGCCCGCGTGCGTAGCAGCGACATAACTATTATATAGCCTCGACTGCTGCTGCTGCTGCTGCTGTTGCCGCTGTGGAAAAAATCGCGAGCTCGACGTTGCGCTCGCTCTGGCGCTATGTATGCATGTAGGTGTACGCAATGTAGAATACAGCTCTATATAGCCGATCCTGAATGAGCCGTAAAATTTGTATTTCGCTTGGCGAGCGCAACGTCGAGTAGTGCATTGTCGAGAGGGCCGCACGAGTAAAAAAAAAGGACAGCCAAAATATATATAAATAAAATCGAGAGCGAGCGCAAGCTGCATGAACTCGCGTGTTTCGCTCGTTTCTTCTCTCTTTTTTTTCGTTGTTGTTTTTTTTCGTTGCTCTCTTGCTCTCTCTCCAAGGGGTTTATTTTATGAGGACACGCTCGGCTTTTTTATTTTATTGCGAAGTTTGATGAAGTGGGAGTCGTTTGTTCTGTTCTCTTCTTTTTTTTTCGCTGCTCGACTGTTTTTTTTTTTCTGTTTGTTGTTCGTTTTTTTTCGTATGTTTCATTTGATTAATTGTCGTTGAGAATTCATAGTATGGGAGATGCTCTACGTACGTCAGGTTTTATAACTTTATTCGAGTAATTTTGTTAGTTATCACCCCGAAGTTTACGATTCATCCGAAAAAAATCCAAAAACGTACTTTTCATTTTAGTGCGAAAAATTTACGCTACACTCGACTCGACTATCATTGCCTATCGGTGAACATTCATCTAAATGAAAAAAAAAGGACAAAAATGAAAAACCTCTCTTCTGACGTTCTCTACGACTCTGAGCTGTATAGATATCACGGGCCACATACGGACGCGCAGGCACAAAAAAAACTCAATCAATCAACTTGCATCAATTTATCGCACCATTGAAGCAATTTTTCCACTTTTTTTTAAACGGCGCGCGCACATATGCCCCGGGGTGAGCGTTGGCAAAAAAAAGAAAGAATTTCAATCGCCTCTGCGACTGTTTGCGCAAAAATTTATTAAAACCCGCAACTGGAAAAGGCCACCACGGACGTGTACCATAAACTTTTTCGGAGAGAGAGCGGCGCGCAATTCTATTCTATTTCTCTCTCGAGCTATATGGTCGCGCGTTTAATTATGCTGCGCGTATTGGCGCAGGGGCGGTTCTCACCGCGCTGTGCGCGTCATTCGTCGGAAACTGTCGCTGCGTTTCCCATTCGAGTCGACGTTACGTCGGATATATCTATATATCTTTGCGCTCCTCGCCCTGTTAGGGAAAACACCTTTCGCCGCATATGGGTGATATGTTTCATTACGAGAGAGAGAGAGAGAGAGAGAACTGCAGGCAATTGACGATCCACTCGAAAGCTACATATTTATGATGGAACTTGCAATGTTATATATGAATTTATTTGACATTATCAAAAAAATTGAAATTCACATTTTTGAGAAATGAGGTGTGTATAGCCTTGTTAAACAAAACTGTTCAATGACGAAGTCTTACTTTTAATTTGAGTACTTAGACGTTTATCATTTTATATCTGAAAAATTTGTCACTTAATTTTAAGATATTTATCAGCGTATACAATAGAATTTTTTTGTAAAATGACGCAAATTATAAAATTGTTGCGTTATGATCTTCCACGCAAAAACATTCAATGTAAAATTAAAATATTTCAGACCGTTTTCAGAGGATTGCGTATAGTTGAAATACCGAAAATGTGGCAATTCCATACTTAATTGACTATTTTGACAATGGTTTTATTATTTTTTTTCGGTATCTGTCTCTCGTGGTTATGAAAAAAAAGTTGTTATTTGAAGTTGTCTAAACTTGCTGTCAAAATGAGATTTACTACACCTCTTACTGTTCAACAGTAAGATAATTTTTATTTTGGCCATAGATCACTTCGAAATTATAATTGACGGATAAACGTTTTCTAAAGGCTCCATCAGTCATAACTATGAAAATTACAGAATTTATGATCGTTTAATAAATTTCGTAAAAAAATTGTTAAATTCGATCGAGAAATTTAATAAATTTTGTGCAATTGATTCAGTTATACTACCTGAACAATTTTTCTGAAATACTAATGCAATCTTCTAGTAAATTATTAGATGATCATGGTTAATTGGTGCATCGAAAAATGTTGTTAAAAGTTCGATATCATTCGCACTTTGATAATGGAAAAAAAAAATCATCGAGTGCAAAATATGGAAGGACAAATATGGAATAGAGATTAGTTCACACGCGCAAGATAATTCTTACGAACGACCTCGTCGAATCTTTATCTCAAGCCTCGATCAGCCTCGTGGAAGGCGCTTCTAATTCTCAAACATTTCCATCGGTTTTTTGATTAAATACAATAATCTTGCGATTTCTGGAATGATTCTTTTCCTAATTTTCACTGCGGCCTGCTGGGCGATCACCCACTTGCACGCGTAGTTTGTACAAATCCAGGCACACATCCTCCGCCGCTTTCATACACCTCCGAACGTATTATAGCATCGCACATACACCCCAAGCAAAGCAGTATAGTGCACGCGCGGCAATATATCTCGCTGCTGCTGCTGCCGCTAGTAGTTGCGCATACACACACACACTCGATATCTATCTTTATCTCAAGCCCTGCACCCGATTACCTCCTTCCCTGCAACCCGATGAAATTTCCCCCCGGCCCCCCTCCTTCCTACCCCCTCGCCTCTGTTTTCTATCTCGTACGAGGCCGAAGCTCATTTAATTACAACAAACAATTTATTAGGTTCATCCAACGGGTTTGCCGGCTAACACGCCCACTATATACGGCGCCAACTGCGCGCGTTCGTCCGATACCTCTCTCTCTCTCTCTCTCTCTCTCTCTCTCTCTCTCTCTCTTCTTGTACGTATGTGTGTGCGTGTGTATAAATACATCTACTATATTATGTACAGCTTGCAGCACGAGCCCAGGCCACGATTTTGCGAAAATAGAGCGACGATGATTCCGCGCTTTCGCTTAATAGCGATCCCGTACACACGCGCACACACATACATCCTACACTACGACGATGTGCAGTGCATCTGTCGCACGGGTCTACGCGTAGACTCTGTTATTGCTCATGCTGCTGCTACTGACTGCAAGCATTATACGTATATGCTCCGAATGATGATTTTGGAAACACAGACGCAATCGGAATGGGGACGACGCCGCCGCTGCTGTTGCTACCGAGCTATATAGCTGCTGCTGATCGTGAGCTTTTTTACACCGAATCCCGGCACTGTTATACAAATTAGTTTTGTTTTCGCCTTTTTTCTGTTTTTTTTTCGTTCTTTTTTTCCGCAGCTCGAGCCGCCGAGTGATTTATAGCTCGAGAGCTGGCGTCATTTTTTTTTTACTTTTTCCATCGAATGATTGAATTATTCGCGCAGGGATTTTTTAGAAGAGATCTCAGAGCCTCTCAAGATCTCATTAATCTTGCTTCGTATATAGTATAGGTTCTTAAAAGGTTTATTTGATAGCGAGATATAGGTTCTTTCCAATTTTTCAACTGACCTTTTAGAATAAAATTCAAACAGATATAATATTAGTGCGCACTATAGCATCAAAAGTCCTACGACTCATAGTAGGAGTAGGCAGTGGTATAATTTCAGGCAGTCAAAATTAGGTGACATTACCGAATAGAAAATATTATCTCATAAAACTGTTAAATACTATCTCATGACGACATAAAATTATGTTTTGATTTTGAACTAAACTTTTCTTTGACATATTTATAAATTCCCTGGCAATGTCAACATTCGCGTTCAACTGTTTACTTTAGAAAGTCTGGTAAATTATTGGTTATTATTGACCCATTCGAATTGTGAAATGGTGTAACGTCATTAAGTGTAAAAACTACGAAGTCTTAGTTCATTGAGAAAAAAATGTCTTCCAATGGAAATCAGGTATTTTGCCTATCCTGTCTTAATAGATTTCAGACGGATATTGAACTAAGGTGGCATCTACGTTTCAATATGTGTGCAAATTCACCGGCCGAAAGACCACAAAATAATATCATGGACTACGAGCAGACATTGCGTAATAAAGGTTCAAGCACTGATTCAAATACTGAAGATCCACGAGATGGAAACTATGAATATTGGACATCGAGTGACGGAGGTTCAAGCACTGATTCAAATATTGAAGTTCCACGAGATGGAAACTATGAATATTGGACATCGAGTGACAAAGGTTCAAGCACTGATTCAAACATTGAAGTTCCACGAGATGGAAATGATGAATTCAGTTGGTTATCGTATGACGAAGGTTCAAGCACTGATTCAAATACTGAAGATCCACAAGATGGAAATGATGAATTCATTTGGACATCTAGTGACGGAGGTTCAAGCACTGATTCAAATATTGAAGTTCCACGAGATGGAAACTATGAATATTGGACATCGAGTGACGGAGGTTCAAGCACTGATACAAATATTGAAGTTCCACGAGATGGAAACGATGAATTCAGTTGGTTATCGTATGACGAAGGTTCAAGCACTGAATCGAATTTTGAAGAGCCATAAAATAAATACGATGTTTTTATTGGACATCGAGTATCGGAGGTTCAAGCTCTGAATCGAATTTTTTCATAAAGAGAAAAAATGTTGTAAATACTGTTCGAAGAAATTCATTTTTATACTAAAATACGCATTAAATCTCATGTTATTATATTTACGATTTTTTGAGGTACATTCATTTTATAACAATTGACATTTTTTTTCTCTAAATTGGTATTGATTACGAAAATTGATGAGCTATTGAAAGATTTGTAACTGCCAACAAGCGGAATATCGTAAAAAAACAGCCCTTTTTCAACGTTTTTAGATGCTCTCTTTTTCCAACATTAGACATTAGACATTAGACTTGAAGGCCCATTCGCTGATAGTAGCTTAAATTCTGAGAAAGTTTTATAAATTTTTTTGAAATTACGTTCGGGATCGTACATGAAAGATATCGAGTTCTACGTTACTTTCTATCAAAACAGGCCCCTACAACAGTGTTTAGATCACTTAGTGGTATTTTTTTTTGAAAATTTAGATGATTTCAAACAAAAAGCTCTCCTGCCCTTTTTTGTTGGAATCACTCTATACTGAGCTAGATATTAATTTAATTTTTATAATAATCATCAATTTCAAAATGGCAACTTTGGTCTCTCACAAAAAAATGATAGGTGGTCGTAAAAATTTTAATTAAATTCGGGGATATCGGAAAAAACAAGTATTTCATTTTTGTAGGAAAAAAATTTTTATACATTCGATTTAACTGAGAATTATAAATATATAAATAAAACTTAAATACACCAATATAGCTTGAAAACGGACAATTTTTCTTCACCATACTATTAGAGGATCCTTGAACCATAATTTTCCAAATAAATCGATCGTTCACCGCAAGTGTAATCCACAACCACACGCGGATATGTACACCACGGGTGCGCACTCGACGTGGCAGATTAAATTCTTAAACTGCTCGCAGGATCGATCATCGGCTGCAACAGCAGCGGCGGCGTACAAAAATTCTAATAGTCGTAATAACGATCGATCGATCGGCGCAATTACCCCGAGAGCTGCGGTTTACGCCGGAAGATTTCGAGTTCGCGTTTGATGCTTCCGTGGGTTCTCTCTCCTCTCTCTCTCTCTCTCTCTCTCTCTCTCTCTACTGCGGCTTTTAAACGGGAGGCGGAGAAAACGTTGTACAGATGCGATCGAACCAATGACTAACTCCGTTTTATTTGTGAAATACACTTGCAAAAATGAAAAGCAAACGATAATTTCTTTAGATGAAAAACATATTGTTTTTTTTCTTATATTTTTTGCTCAATCGCAATTAATTGAATCATTTTTCTTCGCTCGTATTCCTTATTACCTGCAAGTTTTTGCCAAACATTTTACTTAGATTATCAAGATAGGCCATTAGAAGCCTAGAAAAAGCGCGGCAGCTCGACTCGACTTGCGCGGCAACGATCAAGAATTTCTCGATGGTAATTCCCGAGGTACATCCACTGTATACGCAACCGAGATCATGTGGCTTTTCTTCTCTATACGTACTGAAATCGAATCAACTAAAATGATGGTAACAGCAGCAACCGATACGGGAATTCGTATTTATGTAATAGTTCAATCAAGCGCAGTACAACATGATAATTTTATGGCAAAAACACGGGGGCTGCTGCTAGATGAATATGCAATTTTTCGCCGCTTATAATTATTCAAAAAACATTTTACGATCCGTTTGCATTTCGTCTCGTAGCCGCGCACCGGCACCCGTATACGAGTTCGGGGCCAATTATTTCATGTACGCAACTCGAGTATGCATTATGCACGGCCGTCAGGGCGCGCGCGCATAATGCATTTAATAGCGAGTAAACAGCATCGTCGATCGTAAATTTTGCATCAGAAGAAAAAAGATTTATATGCTAATGCGGTGCGCGTCTCGTTGCAGAGAGAAATTCTTTACGCGCGTGCACGTATTATAATGCGTGAACTATATATATAAATATATATTGTACACCTAAACACGAGACAACACTCCGCGGGCTCTGGACGAACGTGTCTATAGATCGGCTCGTATGAGCACGAGAGATATCTCAAGAAATCGGGAGGAATTATGCAAAACACGGCGAAAATGGCTTTTTAAACAGAGAGAACATCTATATTTATGCTGGACGACGCGCGGCGGGCGCATTTCGTTGACGCTACTGTTGCTGCTGCTGCGATCCGTGCGCGTAAGTATGCGAGAAGGAACCGGCCGAATTAAATGTAATTTCCATTGCTGATCGAAGGAGACTATGGGGTATGCATAACAAATCGGCTGCNTCGTTCGATTTATTTTTCTTTCTTTCCTCTTTTTTTTTTTTTTTTTTTTTATTCTTTCGCTTGTTTTTACGTGGCTTCTGTTTTTTCATCGCCTTCTCATATAGTAGAGAAGATGTCGCAAGTGACGCTGTTGGTTTGCGATTAATGCCAAAAGTGACACACCAGACAATCATGCATTCAGCGAGTTAAACTACTGTTACACGTCATATAGGCTAGAAGAGTTGATATGTGCGTGTACGAGAAATTTGGGATGTATCCTGTACATTTCGATTCGTACCTCTTGCACATCCTCAAAGAGGTAATAACAACCATCGAGCGGCTTAATAACTCTTCCAAGAGTATGCGAAAAAATTTTTAAATACGTAAGAATACACGAAAGCAGCGTCTTTCTGGAACTGCCTCGTATCTGTGTCTGTGTGTGTATAAACGCACGCACAAAAAATAGTAATTACAGACCTTTTAAAATTCAAATTATTGACACGCGCAACAAAAAGAAAGTATTAATATTATATGTATCCCTCCGCATCGGAGACTCGGCTTGAAAGCTCGTGTCCCGCAGAAAGGTTTTTTTTCCGATGATGCTGCTGCTACCTTACACGTGTAAGCACAGACAAATCGCGATCTGCGCTATTACTTAAGGGGCTTTCGGAGATTATTACACATGTACACAAGGAAGACGTGCAATTATCAGCTCTCTCTCTCTCTGTCTCTCTCGGAACTTATTTTCTTTGCCACCGCGTTTATATGAAAAATGAAAAAAAAAAATAGCTCGAAAATAAATGTTATAAATACATACCGCGAGCCGAGGGTTCATACATATTATAAAGAAACGATCTTTGCCGTTCCGGAAAGGAGAAGATGCCACTCGTCTTGTCGGGAATACAAAACTATATAACGACTTTGACTCACGCGCGCAAATATTATGAAGTTCGAGAATTTACGATATGCTACTGCTGTTTACCAATGCCACACGTAAGTGTCACGCATGTCTCTCTCTCTTTCTCCCTGCCCCCCCATAGTTTGTCCGGGGGCCTTCAAACATCGTTTTCAAGATGTAAATATGCGAAAAACAATGTTTATATTAAACGTTTCTTGAGAAAATGTAACAAAATTACCATTACTAGTATTTTATAAAACGATACGTAACCGTAGCTTTGTTTTCTGTTTTAGGATCCATCTTCCGTAAGTACAGTACTACATACGTAAACGGCATTTGCATGTGTGTACAGCCGATGCTGCCGGACTGCTGACAAACGCGACGTTCGCACGCCGACGACGACAGCCCCGTCGGCTTGCACGTCTCGGCGTGGGTGACAGGATTTACGTGGTTTCTAAATAACTATGCGCCTCTCGGCCTCATTCTTTTCTTTTAACATACAAACGCATACATATAAATACACGTACACATACACACGAAGCAGATGTGTAACACCGCTACATTGTATGTTGCATGTTTTGCATCGCGTCCAAACAACCGGGCCGATCAACGATGTTCATCGACTACTGTGTGACTCTCGGGGTCGACCGTGGCCTGCGTATGTGTCGTTGTCGTCCTTGCCTTCAAACTTTATTCTTGCACCAACGACGCTACCGCTGCCTTTTTTAACTGCTTCATCGACGATCCAACATCGCAATCTTCCATCAAAAGGGCGTGAGTATTGATGTTTATTTGCTTTGATTTTATTATTCGCGGCTGCTTCATTTTGCGATGTTTAGTTTTGTATCATAGAGTTAACTTTACGAGATACAAAAAAAAATCGCGCTAACGAAGAAGAACGTTTGTTAGAAATTATTATCTTATTAGTTTCATATTGTATTTATAGATAAGGTAAACCACCTAATACTGGGACACTTATCCGGACAAACTTTTATTCTACTAATTTATCGTTCAAAAAAACGACCAAAGTGCAAACTAAATTGATTCTCGCGATGGCGGAGGATTTCCAGAATGTAATATATTAGTTGAACAAATTCTAGATCGTAAAATTATTAAAAAATAAGACATTTTCTTGGGTAGTAAAAATCACCTATAGTAGGACACCTCGAACAGCGCCACTGTATAGTAGGACACGAGTCAGACCAAAAGTGGGACATAATAATATGGGTAGGTATACGATCTCAAGCAATGGATATTAATTTGATTTAAATGATAGGTAATATATAATAAAAAGTCAATAGATTTATAATTTAAAGAATAATAGTTATTTATGTAACAAGTGCCCAAAAGGCGTTTTTGGGCACGAGTGTGCGGAAAAAGACACGAGTGCCGGCCATGCCGCAAAAAGCTGGGCACGTGTTGCATACAAAATTTTATGCAATAGTAGGCGAAAAATACGTTCATTTAAATGAGGCGTTTTACCGCACACCCGTGTCGAAAATGTGGCATTTTACCGCACACAAGTGTCCAAAAACGCTTTTTGCGCACTAAAAAATGTGCGAAAAAAGACATTTTTCGTCATACGATTGCATAAATATGTTTTTTATTGTTATTAATCTGATTCCGAAATTTCATGGGTTTTTTCACTTTCATGAAACTGTAACATAAACGAAATGAAAATATTAAAACACCAATGATGATTAATTTCATAAAACAATTAATTATTAAATATAGATCACTAAGTTTGAACACCTATTTCACTCAATTAATTGAAAACAGAATGTAAACATACCTTCAGTGGCTGGTACTTTTCGAGGTTAGGATACTCGATCACCAAAGAGTCTGCGCAAAATCGGCTAATATTTACCCTGCTTTTAATTGAATAATATAATAAGTATAATTGTCTAAAAAGACACACTTTTTTTATAATAGTTACGAATATACACTTACTTCTAATGGATGCAGATATTATAGGCTACCCAAAGCGACAAAGCGAACTGCACCGCGGGGCGTATAGCAAATATGTGACTTAATTTGTCCTACTATAGGACGTATTGCGAAATAACTGCACGTAAATCAGGACATGTTATTATAAAAAAAATATACTATTATTTGTAAAAATAACAGTACAGTCGTGTTCCGGGAAGTCAAAATATTGAATATAAAACTTAACATTACCTACTTTATATTTGACTTTTATCTTCAATTTACAAAAATTGTGTGGGTACTTTTCCACTCAGAAGTACGATTTCGCACCGAAATTTCTTCCCATCAACTTCGTCGTTACTCATTGAATTTTCATATTTTTTGAGTAAGTACAAATAAAAAAAGCGTTTGAGATATGCATATATTAGAGATTCAATTGAATGATAATTCATATGATTTATCGTTGTTTTTATAAATTTTCATTGAAGAAACTACTGAAAATCGCAGGTGTCCCACTATACGACGGATTTTCGCATTGTCCCAGTATTGGGTGGTTTACCTTATTTAAAGTTTTTCGTCCTCGTTGTTATCAACGGAAAAATTGAATTTTTAATCATACCGTTGACTAGGAAACACGTATAAATTCGTGACTGTCTGCGCACAGTCGAGCAAAATAGATATTATATTCTCTTCTCTATCGTTATAAACTCTCTGCTTGATGCTCGAGCATCGCGTCGGAATAGAGTCGTATCATTTGCCGTATATGCAGTATACGCACTGCACAAGCGAGCGACGACTATTATACTGTATCCAACGACGACTTTATTTATTTACCTTTTTTTTTGCATTGCTCTCTGTCGCTCGCTTGTGCACGTGAAAAATCGACGATATTCCCGACGACGCAAAAGTTGTTTATTGCAGTCGTGATGCGCGTGCAAGTTTGTAAGTGCACACACACACACAAGTGATACGTATTATATGTACGGCTCGTTGAGCTCTTGTGGGGCACTTTTACACGAGCTACTCGTCCTAGTTTTGCAATGAAAATGTCCTGTTTATTGTTTTACTTCGTCGACGCGACTAAATCATTTTTCTCTTTTTTTTTTAGTAAATGAAAAAGTCGGACTGCGAGTCGCGACTATATATAACACGCTATATAGAGATATTTTTCTGCGTCGTGGAGTGCATCGGAATCGTCGCTCTTTCTCTGCGGACGTACAGCACAGTCGTCGTCCCCGCGCACGCGTCGTTAATTCGCTGCTGCGCGACCGACGAGAGACCCTCGTGCAAATTTTTCATATATTTTCGAGTGAAACAATGGACGCCCGCAGCGGTGACCCCCCCGCGCGCGGGAGAGAGAAAGAAAGAAGCCCTTATGGAGACGTCACTTTAGCGAGATGCCATACCTTGATTTCGAACATTTGTATACATACTTTAAAAAATAATCGCGTGGGTGAAGTCGCGTCGCACGTGTGCAACTTCATATTTACGACGTTGCAGTCTTCGAAATTCCTGAATTATCGTATTTATAAGTTCCCGGTATATGGTCACCATTGGTCACATGTGATAAACAAAAATATTATAGAGTTCGATTTTATTTTAATGTTTTTCTTTTTCTGCAAGCAAGTCTCTCTCTTTCTCTAAGGCTACTATTGCACGGGCCAATTTTTTTTTTGCTCAACGTCGAAACGTTTATAACTACGATTTTACCGTTGCGTGCCTGAGAGATCAGGCTATTATTCGCGTCGATTCATGCTGACGCGCGCAAAATTCACATTTTTGATTTCTCTAGCACATATCCTTTCGCACACACACAAACACATACGCGCGCGTAGAGGGACTTGACTGCAGGCGAGAGAAGTTTACACCGAGCAAAGTGGCTCGTTCACGTTTCGATAATTGAATGTTGTTTTCATCATTCCAATAGTAACGAGTCACTCATTACCCACACGCCCAAAGGGAAAGAAAGAGAACGAGAGGCGCGCAGGACTCTCGGTTCTTGCGGACTGTATATACAAAGTATATCGAGTCTCGGGATCGATGGGAGTTATTCGGCTGATCGTTCGGTAAAATTTGAAATTTCGGAATGACCTTTCGATTCGTGCGCTGCGCTCGACTCATATTCACGTATAATACGCGAATCGCAAAAAATCAAAGGATAAAAATATCGTTTAATCTTTCGCCGCGCGCCGAATGTACCTCCTATTACACTTATAAAAATATTATTATAAATTGAGCTACTTTCGAGTATAGTCACGCGACACACAGAGTACATAAGTACGTGTGTGTACAAAAAACGAACTGCTCACTTAAGTGCACGCACGTATATTATATGTAAACGTTGGGTGCGCGGCCCTCGACCCGCAACAGCAAGCGCCAGATGCTTCAATATTACTACTACTTGTTTAAATATATTTAAGTACGATTTCCAAGTCAGATTAGAGCGAATTTTGAGACACTAACGACATTATTTCGCGTGAGAAAGACGTTTTCGTTCGCGTGGTGACAATTTTTTACTTCTTTTTTTTTTCTTCTTTTTCGTCGACTTTTTATACCAATGTGGAGATTGTCATCGGGTGTTGACGCTTCGCTGCTGCAGCCGGGCTAATTTTGTGTGCGAATCAAAATCGAGAAACAATGTTTCCGTTAAATTATTTGCGAGCCGTGTAAAAATATCCTAGCGTGCTTGCGCGGAGTCGTTGCATGTAATTCATCAAGAGAGCATAATGTTGTTACAAAAGACATGCCATGATTCCCATTATAGGCAAATTTATCAAAGCACACACTGTTATCCTTTATCAGTGCAATATTCATCGTAGAAAAAGAGAAGAAGAAAATTGCATCAGAACAAAAGAGTCTGATTTCATAATTGAGCTTTGTTAGTCGCGAGATGCACTTTCTTCGGCTGTGTGCACGCATACCTGCTCCCAGTTCGTTTTCCAGGCTCACACATATACATATATGCTTTAATTAATCTCGTCTTATCGACATTATAGATCCCTGTGTCTTACGCGTATATTTAACATACACTCAGCCCGTGACTAATTAGACAAAACGAGCTCGAGATATGTGTATGTGCGCACTCCGTGAGCTGTACACGTAAAATTTTCCGCAATAATATCGAGTTACATCTGATTTATTTCCCAATCCGTGTTCGCGCATTACACAGTATATTAGTCTTACAACGTGTATTACGGCGAATTTTTCCCTCTTACGATATTGTTGATGCCCGAGTGTGTACGTAATATTTGTTTTATTTACGCGCTCGATTCGATTCGCACATAAATGTATAACGCGTGTGTATTATACACGCAGCGTGAGAAAAGCCTCGGCTCAAAAATGAACAGTAACCATTTTCATTTACGACGCTCGTAACTAACGAACTTTAATTATTTTATGTATATTAAAAGAATACATAAAGTACAATAATTTCTTTATTTTCCATAAAGGAAAAGCATCGAAGCGCGCGCGCGCACCTATATTATACCGCTAAATACCGGCGTGCTTAGCAACTGTGAAAAATTATGATAAACATTATGTCTTCAGTTAATATATCATAAAGGAAAAAGAGCGAGAAAAAAATGAGCACGCGAGGGGCACATATCCACGACGCTTGGCATTATAATATACACGGTTGTAAAGGATAAACGCGGCTCTCTCTCTCTCTCTCTCTCTCTCTCTCTTCTTTATAATTGCCGTCGCATTATGAATATTATATGACTGCGATGGCCTTTTTGCATTTATTACGAGAATTATTATATCGACAAAGCCGATTTGCAATCGAAATTTGCCATCCTTCCACCCTAACCTACCTACCTACCTACCTCTCTCTTTCTTTCTTGCTTCTT